ATCTATCGAAATTAAAATCTTGTAATTAATAAGAGCGAAATGTATTGCGAACGATTGTAACTCCGAGCATTCGAAATTTCAACGACTATCCTGTCAATATCCAATTAGAATACGAATAAACATTTGTTGTGAAGAATATTTGTCTAATAATACAATAGGATTAATCGAACATTTATTTTCACCAACTTTAATCATCTCCCGTGTCAATACTCTTGCGCATAGCAGGTTAGTCGAAACGTGGAGTTTAATTTCAAATCGCATTAAATAACAGGCAATACTACAATTTAATCTAAATTCAAAAATTAACGGCAACGCAACCAAAACGAGCCAGAGAAAACGTAACACTATTAACGGTATTCGGCAAAACCAAAACAAACAAAATAAAACAAAAAAAACAGTCTTAATCTGTTGAGTCATTGTTATTAGGGGCTCATATAATCTCTCGCTTTTATTAGTCATATCTAAATTCTATCTACTTTCTTTTTCGTTCATAATTTGACTTTATATTATTCTGACCCAAATAACCTTATTCAACGACCATTTTAAGTAATACTTATCGTTATGTATACATTACACGATGTATATATCTTATATCTCTTATATACTAAAAAGCTATACTACCAACATTCCGACAATTAACCATTTATTAATTAATTTATAATTAATTAATTTCTGGGCATTGTACGATAAATGACTCCTGAAGGAAATACTGTCAATAAACCCGGTCCTTCAAACGTACTTTCCAAGTATTTATCATGACGCCCAATACGCATATGGTAATAAATAACACATGTGAGTATTATTCTGTCTTAATTTATCAAATCATTCAGTACTAAAATATATTCATCAGCTTCTATACTTTCAATATTACAATTACTTAATTTATTTTAGGTTTAAAAAGGACGATGTGTACTACAACCACCAGTATCATCTATATTGTATTGTAACACTGTGAGAGTGAGGACATGGATCAGCATAAACATATACACTATACTTGTACTTATACTTATGCCTTTATTTATTTAAATTTTTCTACTACAAATTTATCCACTTGTTCTTCTGTCAATCAACCTCAACACATGTAAACAATTTTGTTTGTTCGATCAATCGCGGGGAGACGTAGTCGCTAGGAGAGACGTCAACGGGAGTCGTAAATTCCCGTTACGATTATAACAATCGACACCACGACTTGATCGATCCCCTGATTTCCGTTGAGATAATAGGGGTGATTGAGTTTGTATAACACTGTGATTCACAGAATTATAAATTATATATTTCCAACACTTAGATTACACTGATGAGCATAGATAGATAGATAATCACTTATTGCACGAAGATAAGATAGATATGTACGTTAGAGCAGGGCTCTTATAATTAGATTTA